AATAGAAATTACCCAAAAATTAACCGAGATGGAGAAGCTAACCATCGAATATTCGAAATACAGTTTAGCAGTGCCTGTAGCTTTGCCAGCGTCTGCTCGTTAACATTGTTTTGTGGCACTGTTAGGGTGCACTCAATTAGCCTTAACCCCACAAGCGTCGCCAGCGCAGAAGGGTCAGAGTACAAACGTTTAATTTATGCACACACTGACACAAATGCATACATGTAAACAACTACATACGTAAATACATACATATGTACATATATTTTTGGATATGTTTGCTTATCATTAACATCAACTGCAGCTGTTTTTATTTCGCAATTACTCTTCGTCTTCATACGATTCTCTCTTTTAAAATGAGGATAATAGCAGCAGCTCTCTCTTGCATCTGCTGTGCATGGTAAGGGGGTGGTGGATTGGTGCATTGAGGCTGAGGTGTTGAGGTTGATGTTGAGGTGTGGTGCGCCCTGGTGGTAGTTCTTGCTCTCCTCACAATTCGCTGCAAAATTATTCTTGGCTCTCGCAAAATTTAGGGGAAGTTTCGACAACGCCTGCGCTGTGCAATACTCCCGTTAACTCTCCTCTCCCGCTGCACGTGCAAATTTTTCACATGTGCTTTTTGTCCTTTTACCGGCATGCTGCTTGTTCTCTGCAGCTCTTTCTCGCTCTTTCTCTCTCTCTCTCTTTGCCTGGGCGGCAGCCCTACCCGACCTTCTCTTCTTGGGTATCCATGCTGAAGGTTAAAGAGCTTTAAGTGCCGTTTCTAGCACTTTCTAAAAGCCTTTGGTACATCTCAATTCACGATTTGTTCTGTTTGTTTGTTTGTGCGTTTTTCAATTGGTTGTAATTCTTCGTGTACACACTATTGATGGTCATGTCGAAGGAACGTTTGATTGATCAAGGTCTGAGTACTATTTCAATTTACCAGGCAATCAGGCCGCGGCTCAAACTCATGTTGAGGTAGCAGCCGTGGATGGGGTATGTACGGTGCGGTGTTTCTTGTAGCATCAATAAGGAAAACTACTGCGAGAATGTTTGTAATTTATGATGATGAAAACTGTTTTGCTGTGCTTGTCTTGTCTTTGTTTTTTTCTTGCCATTTCCAAGTTCTATGATTTATGTACTTGTATGCATGTTTTTTGCCAGAACACACCTGCGTCATATTTTGGGTTACGTGACGCAAATCTAGCCCCAGCGCCATGATAAGAAACAATTAGATTTTCGTTTAAAACTTAAACGAAAGTAAGTTCCCGTAATTTCCCCATATTTCAGCTCCCCATGTGTAATATTTCTCCATTTGGGGTCTGCTTTTCAAAGCACCTTCGTGCGCTGTTGCATGTGATTTTGGATCCCATTGACCATAGAGCATCGATTTGAATACCTTATTTTAGATTTATTGGGTCTCACCCAACTGATAGCAAAGGCAAATGGGCAACACACAAAAGCCAAATAGGAAAACGTGAAACGAAAAGAAAAGAAACGTAAACAAATCGAATGAAAATGAGAACAAGAACGAGGCGAACAACAGACAGACCGTGGACGGTATCAGGTATGGAAAGTCGAATGCCTCTGTGTCGAAAAATGGGGCAAGGCAAGGGCTTACGCTCTTACCCGCTGCGATTATTCAATAATTTAAAATATTTGAATTTGTGAAAACGTTTCTTGTAGCGCCATCTGGCGTCTTTTAATATCAGCAATTTTAAGTGATATGGCCACCATGTGGCAGAATTGACGGCAACATTTGGTTATGAGTTTAGAATTCCAATTGTTAATGATTAACTCATCCTGAATTATCAATGCTCGATGAAAGCACCAGTAGTTAGAAACGGGTGCTTGAGTGGGTTAAATTAATATCTTTGCTCAGTACATTTGCGGTATAACATAATTTGCATGGCCCAGCAGCATGCTGCAAACAGTGAGCAGCACTGTTCCCCAACATTTGGCAACCTTTGGAATAAGCAACATTAGTACCCTTGGAGGGATGTATATCCTTGAATTGAGGAAATTTTGGATATCTTTGGAACCAATCAAGCAAAAACAAATCAATTTGTGTTGGTGAGCCGTCTCAACAACATTTTGCAGATTATAGGTTAAATAATTTACATACATTTACATACTGAAGAAAAAGCTCCCTTGCTTCCAGAAGGCCGATTTCAATGAAAAATTCAAATGCACATTTGTAAAATACAAGGTCATAAGGTTAACAATCCAATAAAAATTAGTATTTAAAATAAGCCAACTTTATGGTTCATTCGGATCAAATTATTGTTTCAGTGTTTAAAGTGTTTGCAAGCTAGTAATATCAAATAGAACATCAAAATCGAAGAATATGATTTAAGACCACGGTATATTTACGGTGGGTATTTTGAAATCGAAAAGTATATTTTGGTATATTTTCGACGCCCTGACGGTATATTTTATCGATCATTTCGCGGTCACATTGGTCACTAGTCGCTATGCAAAAATCGGTAAGCACAAAAAAAAAAAAAAAAAAATTGACGCTGCGTGCCCCCAAAAAAAGCACGATAAAGGCAAGATATAGATAATGTGGGTGTACTTTGGTAGCGCTTACTCACTGCTCGTTTTGTTCTGTTCCGTTCTCCCCAATGCAGCCGCAAGTGAAGCTGTTGGCCTGGCTGCTCCTGCTGCCGGTGTTCTGCTTGGTGCAGCCGGCGAATGGCTACGACAAGGAGATGACCGTCTATGTGGATGCGCGCAAGACGGAGTGCCTGTACCATAGCGTCAAGCAGGGCGAGACGATTGACTTCGAGTACCAGGTGATCGATGGCGGGCACGGGGATCTGGACATCAGCTTCACCCTGCTTGATCCCATTGGCCTGGTGATAGTCAGCGACTTCAAGAAGCCGGAGAACATGCACCGCCACGACGTGGAGAAGGAGGGCGACTACCGTTTCTGCTTCGACAACAGCTTCAGCATGATCAACCGCAAGACGGTATTCTTCGAGCTGATTGTGGAGCGTGAGGGCGATCAGCATCATGGGGATACGCAGTGGAACGAGGACCTGGCCGATCTTACGCCCGACGAGTACTACGACATGAAGGTGCAGGACATCATGGACTTTATCGGTCGCATTCGCCTGCAGCTGAACAAGGCCCGCCAGCTGCAGGACATGCTGCGCTCCCACGAGGCCCGCGACCGCAATCTGGCGGAGACGAACTTCCAGAAGGTCAACCACTGGTCAATGCTCCAGATCAGTGCCATGATTGGCGTCGGCCTCATACAGGTCTTCATGCTGCGCAGCATCTTTGAGACGCACGGCCGTATGCATCATCTGTGGCGCAAGCTGGGCATTTGATGCAGCTTCGACGAGAGAGCAATACGGTGAAGAGTTTACCAAAGATGTGCGAGAGCTCCAGCTCCAGGTGCAGGTCCAACAGCATTTCCAACTTTCATTTGGACATTTTCAATGCCAATTAGTATGTAAAAAGCCCCCCGCTTGCCATGCCATCATCCTAGTATATAGAAACATACAAACAAACATATTTATTGAACATTGAGACATATTCTCTATATATAAACATATATATATATAGAGTGTACCAACGTGTGTGCTTGCGTGCGTGAGTGTGTGATTGTGCTGTGCAGGAGGCATTGTTAAACAAAAGCAATTTGTAATTCTAAGAGCAATACTAAGCAATTCTAAGGTTATAAAGTCAATTAAACAAAACAAAACAAAGCGAAATGTGTCTGACTTGTGTGCTGCTGCAGCAAGTATCCATTTTATCCATTCAAATTGGAGTGCATTCTGCCCCTGCATTGTTCCCTGCCCTGCCCACGAGCGCCTGCCATTAGCTCTACCAATCTGCTTCCATGCCAGCTCCCAACTGCTTGGTGCCCAGCACCAGAGGAAACTTTAATCTTGGTTTTTTTTTCAACAGTTTTTTTTCCATTTAATTCACTAAAAAAAAATTAAGCCAATCCAATCCACATTATTACTAGCATGGTGTTTATTACTGACATTTCCAGCTGGAAATGCTCGCCTGCAACGGGCAGTGGTTGTGTGTGTGGAGTGGCAGCTGCAGCAACCTGCACTCCGCACGCAGCAGCAGCTTAGTGGCCTGGCCCGTGGTTGTTTGTTTGTGTGTTGGAGGGTAAAGGATTAACAGCAGAGACCAAGTGCTGATCTAGGCAGCCTTGTTTAGGCGCTTCTGGCGCTCCAGCAGACGACGCTCACGCTCAAACTCCTTCATGCGGAGGACATAGTCCTCGTATTCGCAGGTCAAGTACTCGTGCTTCTCGTGCGCACATTGGTAGACGAAGGGGAACTTGTCTGAGCGGCAGGCCTGGTAGGCGATCAGCTTGTGGGCACAGTAGTCGCGGTTCTCGAGCGGCAGCTTCACCGACTCCATCTCCTCCTGGGTGGCGATCATGACGCGCTCCTTGCGCGACTCAAATCCCAACATTGGATCGAATGAGGGCACCACGTCCGGACCGGGTGTCACATCTGGCTTCAGATAGTGATTCACAGCGTTGCCCATCCTAGGGGTAAGACAAACAACATCGGTTAGGGCATGCAAAAGCATTCAAAATCACACATATTAATTACGTAAAATGTTTTCTCGTCGATTTTGTTGCGGCTCTGCTGTCAGTACTCTGCTTCTTCTTCGCCTTTGACAGCTGCTGCACAGTGCTGCCAACCTGTGCAACTGGTCAGAGTGGTATCGATACATTAAACAGTTTTTTTGAATTTGTCATCTGCAGTTGGCAGGACATGAAGGGTGCAATTTGTGAACATACGACGAAGACAAGGAAAAGTCAATAATATTTAAAGACTTCATATCCTGGCTTACCGCTGAGGGAAGTTTAACATTATTTTAAGTTCAGCAACAACCAAGGTGGTTAGGGGTGGCTCCTTAAGTTCGTGTACAGTGACTGGGGCTGCTAACAATCGATAGTCGCACGTAACATCGAATGGCGGCTTAAACCATCGATATATCGACATTTGCATCGAAAAGTTTTAAAATGTTGTTCTGCTTGCCCCTGCTGCAAGTGTGTGTCCGCGGAGTGCAAATGGCAAATGGCGTAGGCGATAGTTAAGTTCAAGTTTTAGCAATATTTTATTAGAATGCCAATGCCAAATAGTTAATTCTTAGTTGTTTAATTCAATTTTTTTTTGTTCGTAAACTCTGTGCAATAAATTAGCCAAAGAAAAACAAAACCAAGTTCGCAACTAATTTTCGCTTGTTAAACGCTAACGGTACGGTCTCTTCGGTACGGTACGGTTGCCTGCTGCCTACGCAGTTCGTTTTTACAAAGGTGTATATATATATATAAAGATATCTATATAGAGAGAAAAATATCGATTTGACCGCGCCGACAGAAAAATGCCCGCAAATATGGTGGGACTATTGAATCCCATGAAGTATGGTGATCATTTCTACGAGTTGTTTACAAACCAAACACGCAGGTAATCCTAATAAGTCCAAAGGACAATGGCTTTATCCCTCTTTTGCTGCTGTGGCGTTGAAAAATCGATCCAACCACCGCCAGCCGCAGCCGCAGTCGCAGTTGCTGCACTCTCCACCGCCCTCCTCCCTCCGCCGGCTTCAATCAACCCCTGACAAACGGGGATGGGGATGCGAAAACGGGGTTGAAATGAGTCGCCGCCCGGCGGCCCATTCAAAAATCGGCTCGACAAGTGGGCAGCACCGCTGCATCAGCTGACCCGGCTGCGCGCCATCTGCTGGCTTCCCACTTGCTGCCGATTTTGGTGTGAGTGTGTGTTGTTGTTTGTGTTGTGTTTGTTGCCATCCCATCCGAGAGAGAGAGAGAGTCGAGACAAGACGAGAGCGAAGAGACCGCGACCTGCATCACTCTTTCAAATTCCAATTACCGTTGGTTCATCGTCCGATTGCAAATGTATCGAGTGCGCCGTGCAGTCCCGTTACTTAAATGCAAGTCTGAATCCATAGGAATGTCCCACGCTTTTTTTTTTGTTTGGCCCACGCACATTTGTTTAATCGATACTCCACCTCCCCTCTTGGCCTCCCACGCAGACGAACCCACAATGAGAGGAGAACCCTCACCAAGCGCAAAAGCCGCAAGGAGAAGTCAGCGGCAGCGATGGCGGCCGCTGCTGCCGCCGCCGTGTTGGATGGGAATCCTGGCGGCATTGTCAATCCCCTGGATCCGCCGCTGGTCAAGGAGCAGCTGTTGATCATGCCCTCGTTCCCGGCGGGTCACATCGAGATAGAGCCGAACGCCTCCAAGTTTGCCGTCTTTTCGGCCATTCGCACCGCAGTCCTCGAGGCGGAGACGCGTTATGCCCTGCTGCAGGAGGGCGGCGGTGCCGGCCGGGAGGCTGGCATGGGCCTGAAAAAGTGGGCCGCCAACTTGGACTCGTCCTGCTGTCTGCTGTGCGCCGCCAGCTGCCTGGCCAGCAACATTCTGGACTGCACATGTCACGCTCAATTGGCGCTCGCTGCCGGGGCGCTCGGCGGTGGCGCAGGGCCCGGCATTGCGCCGGGCGGCGCTGCCATCGCTGGCCTCATCGGTGTGGTGATCGGCCCCGGCGGACCGGGTGGCTCCAGCGACAAGCGCAACCGGCGCGATAGCGCCAACAGCGATGCGGACTCGGACACCGAGGAGCCCACCGAACGGGAGCCCGTCTATGCCACCGTTCCGCTCATCGTGGGCGCCGGACTGCGCAGTCTGTTCGAGCTGATCGCCGACGCCCGCCACATTCAGCCGCTGCTCTGCACCAAGGCGCTCAAGGCCCTGCTCGACGTTATCCAGGGCCAGCAGCCCGAGTCCTTCAAGATGGAACCGGAGGAGCTGATCAATCCGCTGTACGATCTGCTGCTCGATCTGGCCACCATGCCGGCGGCTCTGAATTCCACAACTGGCGCCGAGGCCAACTGGTCGGCCATGGCCTGTGCCGCTCTCCTGGGCCTGTGCATTGCCCGGGGAGACACGGGCAAGATGCTCAAAGCGATTGCCGCCATGCTCATGTCACCGCGGCAGCTCTCGGCACAGATTGTCCAACTGCCGGCAGTGCTGGCCGCCCTGCAGCACACGGTGATCAGTGCGGCGCTGAACAAGCCCACACGGCCGGACTTTCATAGCCACGGAGTGCCGCACAATTCCCTAATCGATGAGGTGAGTCGCCCATGCCTCAGCCCCATTCTGTGGCTTTGTTTTATGTGTTCTTGTTCTTGCTTTTCAGTTCCCCTTGAAGCTGCCTGAGGTGGGGCCCGGTGGCCCCGAAACGGCCCCAGCCATGGCCTGCGACGGTGTCTTCTTGTATCTGCTGTACGATGGATATCTGCTGAAGATCGGCACTGGCTTTGGGGGCTCCTACAAGGGGCATGTGTACGCGCAGAACGATGACTTTACGCGAGAGCGAAACGCCTGGCTGGGCTACAGTGCGGGGCATTTGTATTTCAGAAGGAATTGTCGCCGCAACACGGGCGATCAGCTGCAGCTGGTGGGCCTCGACACGCTGGCCCTCAAGTCGATGAGCCCCCTGAACATGCTGCCCATGCGCGAGGGCATCAACTATGTGCTCTTCACCGACGACGACTCACTCCATGCCATCTGCAGCAACCGCGACGTGAGTGTGGCGCAGCCCTGAAACGTTCAAGCTCCATTCTTTAACCTTTGTTTTGCGCAGGACACGCTGGTGGTGAAGAAGCTGAATCTGTACCACAACAGCTACAGCAGCGAGCCGCAGCCGTTTGAGCTGCCGCTGCAGCTGGCACGCAAGAAATTCCGCACTCTGGGCTACGCGGCCTTCGAGGACGATCTGCTCAACCAGCATCAGGTGCAGCGCATTCAGTCGTCGCACAACAGCTTTGAGCCCAAGCTGCCGGCCACCTGTCGCGACGCTGATGTCGATGTGCTGGGCATGGCCTGCGGCAAGGAGTTCGGCCTGGTGCGGGCCAGCAACGGACGCGTCTACTACTACGGCAAGTCGACGGCGCTGGGCCTCAAGTGCGTGGGTCGCACGCCCTCGCTGAAGCTCACCGAACTGATCATATCAAAGGCGGCGCACATTGTCCATGTGGCCGTCGGGCACGATGGCATCCATGCGCTGCTGGTGAACGACGATGGGACCGTCTTCTTTGCCGGCACAGCACGGCGCGGCGAGGATGGGGACACCAGCAAGAACCGTCGCCAGCCGAAGGCCGTCAAGCCCAAAAAGATGACCAAAATCGATGGCCATGTGGTGGTGCATGCCGCCTGCAACAATGGCACCTCGGCGTTCGTCACCAAGGCGGGCAAGCTGATTATGTACGGCAAGGACACGGCCCACTGCGATGCCATGGGCTTTGTCACCGAACTGCTGGACCAGCACATCACCAAGGTGGCGCTGGGCAAAGCCCATTGCGTGGCCCTCAATGCCAAGGGGCAGCTCTTCTCGTTCGGCCTCAACAACAAGGGCCAGTGCGGACGAATATTCAATAAGCTGCAGCCCGTCAAGGATGTGGCCTCCTCCTCCTCGGCCGCTTCCTGCTTTGCCGCCCTGCTGCCGCCCGATAAACGCTACAAATTGGACCTCTCCGCCCTGTGCGACTACGACGATCACAGTCTGGTGCAGGGCCAGTGTCGCGTTTGCATTGTCTGCCGCGAGTGCACAGGCTACAATGTCAGCTGCGTCTCGGCGCTGAATGTGCCGCTCGAACAGCGGCTGGCGGGCAGCATTTGCCCCTGTGGGCATGGCGATGCGGGCTGCGCCAAGTGCGGTCTGTGTGCCACATGCATTGCCCTGCAGGATAACGATAATGGTGCGTCTCTCATCCTGTCTTTAATGTGTCTCTAACATCCTTTTCCTCTTTCGCTTTAGACGCCAATCGGGAGCTCAAGTCTCTGTCCACCGAGGTGCAGCAGCGACAGCAGCGCTCCAAGACGCTGCTCATGCGACGCAAGGAGAAGAAACCCTGTGAGCTGGAGACGGGCGCCGCTGGCGGTGGCGCCGCAACACCCACCGATCTGGACAAGGATCCACCGCGTGTGGCCCCACTGGCGCCACAACTGCTGCAGCTGCCCAGCGCCTCGCCGGTGGTGCAAGTTGCCTGCGGCCTCCATCACACCGTGGTGCTGACGCTGGCCGGCGAGGTCTACACCTTTGGCAGCAATCAGTACGGACAGCTGGGCAGCGGCGACCTGCAGCCGGTCAGTGGTCCGGTGCGTGTGCAAGTCCAAGGCGCCATCAGTCAGGTGGCAGCCGGCAGCAATCATTCGGTGCTGCTGACCCACAAGGGGATGGTCTACACATTTGGCAACTACCAAAAGGGACAGCTGGGTCGTTTGCCCAGCGATTTTGGCCCCAATGTGGACAAGAGTCAGAGACCAGGACAGAGTCCAGGCCAGCCGCTGGATGAAGAGCCCAGCAGCACAGTTGCCTCGAGTGCAGCCAGTGCCAGTGATGCTCCAGCTGCTGCTCCTGTTACTGAGAGCAGTGTGCTGCCCAGCTGCAGCAAGGAGCTGCCACCATTGATGCCCAATTTCGCCTGTCCCGTGCTGACACAAAGGCAAAAGTTTCTCTGGAACTGCTCCCCGGCAGCTGTATTGTAAGCTGCGATAGTCCAGCTGTGGCAACTCCTTTCTAATTGCGTTTTTCTCCTTTCTTTTTTGCAGCGGCCTGGGTCCCAGCTTTGGCAAGAAAGTCACCTGGATCGGCGCCAATGGGGATCAGACATTCATCAAAATCGACGAGTCGCTGATCACCGCCCAAATGCTGCCCAAAATGCATGTGGTGGCCAACAGGAAGACCATTTGTGAGCAGCAGCTAATCCACTCCCAACTCACTTTCTGTGCTAATTCGTTTCCTTTCTGTTTTGCAGTGCTTGTTCCCAGCATACCGCTGTCCTTTCATACGTTGTCCATCAACAGACGGGATGGTAGCTGCACGGCTCACTATCGCGGCCAGAGCAACTTTATTCAGCTGATGCAGGCACAACCTCAGGCACAGCCACAGGCACAGCCGCAGGATGCGGCGACACCTGTGATGGCCTCACCAGCGCTGGCAGAGCCCGTGGCTCATGCCTCGTCCTCGCTGCTGACTGCACTGGCGGGCACGGCCACCGCTGGCGTGCCGATCAACGAGCAAATGTCGCGCAGCATGCACGAGGGTCGCAATCAGATCTTTGAGGAGCCCGAGGAGCGCGGTGTGGCCGTGGTGGCCTCCGGCAGCGGCGGCTGTATACCGCGTCCGCGTCGATTTCTGCGGCAGCGACTCGAAATGGGTGCACCCGGTTCGCCGTCAGAGCAGCTGCAGTCACCGCAGCAGCTGGCCTTTGCCATGGATCCCAGCTACAATGTGTTGTGGGTCTTCGATGGCGTCTCACGGCGCATTCGCTGCCACAATGTGGTGGCCAGCGACATAGCCGAAAGCGATGAGGTACGCATATCATAACATATCGAATCCCTGTCGAATGACCTGCTAAAACCTCTTTGAATCCCCCACAGAATGCGGCCAACTACAGGGCGCTGCTCTCGCCAGAGTTGTCGCTGCCCATAAAGGCGGAGGCACGCGTATCGCGCTCGCAAGGATCCCTCAATCTGCTCGCCTGCCTGGACATACTCACCTCAGCGCAGGACAATATACCGTACTGCTTCGAGCAGACGCTGCCGAAGGCCATACATCCCGCAACGGAGACGCCGGGCGGCGACTATCAGGTGGTGAATCGCTTTGACAACTTCGGAGGCGGCTGGGGCTACTCCGGACACAGTGTGGAGGCCATACGCTTCGCCTCGGACACGGACATTGTGCTGTGCGGCTTCGGGATGTTCGGCGGACGCGGCGAATACAGCTGCAAGGTGAAGCTCTTCGATTTGGGCACCGACGGTGGCGGCTACGAGAAGGAGGGCGTCCTCCTCAGCGAGACCAAGGAGGTGCCGTACGAGTGCGCTGCCCGCAGCAAGCATCACATTCTGCTGCCCAAGCCGGTGAGTGCGGCAGCGGGACGCTGGTATCTGGTCTGGGCACGCATCGCGGGACCCTCCTCGGACTGTGGCTCGTGCGGTCAGGCGTCGGTCACCACCGAGGATCAGGTGGTGTTCTCCTTCAAGTCCAGCAAGAAGGCCAACAACGGCACCGACGTCAACTCGGGCCAGATACCCGCCATTCTGTATCGCCTGGTCACCCAGGACTGCAAGCAGACACCCGCACCCATGGACGCCGATCCCGTGCAGCGAATATCGCGCGCCTTTGCCAACAGCGTTAGCCGCGAGTGCTTCGAGAGTCTGGTCGTGCTGCTCAGCTGGTCCTGGGAGAGCTTCAAGACGCAGCTGCGCGAACAGAGCGATCGCTCGCGTCCCCTGCAGCTGCAACAGTCGCTGCAGTATCTCGGCTACGTGAACAAGTCCTGTCTGCGACTGCTGCGCAAGTACACCAACGAGATATATCCACAGCGAGCGAACACTTCGACGGGTGGAAACGCTGTTCGAAACAACAAGAGCGGCTCCTCTGGCCCATCCGGCAGTGCTGCTGGTGGCAGCATGGTGGCTGCAGCTCTATCCAAATTGGAGTCCAAGTCAAGCAAAGGTGAGAGAGAACATTCACGACGTGCCTCTTTGTTGTCTTCGCTTGTGCGTACGAGTCTTCCACTTAAGCTTTTTCTTTGCTTTCAGACAAACATGTGCCCCGTGTTGTGCCCAATCCCATAACAGTGTCCAAATACTTTGGCGAACATCCGTCGACATCGGGCGCTGGTGCTTCGGGTGGATCAAGAGGTGGCGCTGACAATACAGCAGCTGGCACAGGCACGCCGATCACACGGAAAGCGAATCTCGAGAATATCCAACTGGCCGAGTGTGTCGGCAATGTGCGAGCCCTGCTCATTGGCATCTTCTGTGACGACATCTTCAAGGACATAGCCACAGATGAAGGTGAGGGAGCGAGTGGCAGAAGGAAGCTCAATCTTAATCGTAATCCTTTTACAGGCTACGCCTTGACACTGGAGATCCTGGAGGAGTGCCATCTGAGCTTTGTGGCCTGCTTCGATGCCTTCTATCCGACCTCCTCGCTCAAGTGGAGCTGCCTGTGCGATCTGCTGGCGCAGATGGATCGCGGTGCACTGCACTCGCGCCTGCTGAGTGCCATTCTGGCGGGCCTGTGCTCGCCCACAGTGAAGCTGCGGGCCACCTTCTCGCTGCTGAGTGCGCCCGGCAACGATCGCCAGTCGATCATCAGTCCCAGCGACAACTCGGGCCTGCCCATGCTCTCCTCCACGGATGCGCATCAGTATCCCATACTGGTCGAGCAGATGATCTACCGCACGCAGCAGGAGAAGAGTGACTTTCTGATCAGCTCGTGGACGTTTAAGGATGTGCTCGTGCGGCTGCTGGACATCATTGCCAGCCCCATACGGCAGCGCATCGAGTCGATATACAGCCGCAGCCTGGAGGGCAGCTACCCGGGCAAGGAGTGGATCAACCAGGGTCTCATCGACAACTGCTGCCACCTGCTGGCCCGCGTCCTCGCCGAGATTGTCTACCAGACGGCCATGGGCGAGTACGACAAGCTGTTTCTGCCGCCGCGCACACTGCACTCGACGGGCGCCCGCTTCGCCCGCTGTGACCTGAGTCGCACCTGGAACACGGGCAACTTTGGCCCCGATGCCATTGCCTTCTCGGTGGACCGGTCGGGCATTGCCATTGCTGGCGCCATGGTCTACACGGGCTCGGGCAGCTACGACTATCAGCTGGAGCTGCTCTTCGACAACACGGTGGACCTGCAGCCGCAGCACAAATGGGAGACGCTCGAGTCGGTGTCGGGCAGCTATGACCAGGAGGCGGTGCACAACGATCTGGCAGAGATTAAGTTCGAGCATCCCGTACAAATCAAGGAGCACGCCCGCTACGCCCTGCGCCTCTGCTCCCAGGGAGCACGCACCTGTTCCGGCGACTCGGGACTGCCCACAGTGCGCGGTCCGTGCGGCACAAATTTCCACTTCTATGCCTGCGATCTGAGCTTCAATGGCACGACACCGGCCCGGGGCCAGCTGCCGTGCATCCTCTACTACAGCACGCCCATCAAGCTGGAGGCGGGCGTCGTGGGATCCGGCTCCACGGCCATGGCAGCGGCTGATGCTGCCAGCATGCTGGCTGCCAGCAGCCAACTGATTGCCCACGAGGTCTCCACGCGGGACACGGCGCTGCAGATCGCCTCGGACATAACAAAGAAGTGCACAGAGCTGCTGATTATGGCACGCAATGCGATGGCCGCCTCCTGCTCGCCCTCGGACAACAGCAGCTCCAATTCGAATCACACGCAAACCATCGACTCGGAGCACAACATAACGCCCATCGAGGAGCACATGGACATTAACTGGGCCAACAATTCACGCACTGCGGCCCAGCCACAGCCGCAGGCACAGCAGCCAGCCAGCTCGGCAGCGGCAGGAGCGGCGGCAGCGGCAGCGGCAGGAGCAGCAGCAGATCCGCAGAACTCCACCGCCCGTGATCTGGGCAGACGGATTGAGTCCTTTTCGAAGGGCATCATGCAAACGCTGACATTTGACAAGCGCTCAACGAATCCATTCGAAATGGAAATCGAAATGGGTGCCACAGAGATCGGTGAGGAGGATTCCGATGATCTGGCAAATGGGCAAATTCCCAGCCAGAGTCAGGGACAGCTGCAGAGTGTTGTGCCCATCAATGGCAATGAGCGTGTGGACTTTGAGGTGGCCGAACAGCCAGTGCCGACAGCACCGCCCCAGGAGGAGATGCCACAAGTGTCGCAATTCGCGCAACAGCAGCAGCAGCAATCGCTGCTGGTACACTCGGACTCGGAGGAGGCGGCGGCGGCCATCGATGCTGCAGCTGGAGCTGGATGCAGTGGCTTTGCTGGCATAGGAGCAGCATCCTCTGTGCTGGGCGAAGCTGCGAGAGGCGTGCCAGCAGGTGGTGGCTGCCCAGTGGCCGCTCTGCAGCTGCTGGAGGTCTTCAATCTGTCCGCCTCGAATATGTTTCACACCCTGCTGCCGCTGGTCTACGCTCACATGTCGAATTTGGCCTGCAGCGATCCCAAGAGCTCCGTGCAGATACTCGGCTTGATCAAGGAGATTCTGCCACACATTGCGGCGCTCAATCAATTGCATGTGTCCAAGGAGCAACGCCAGCCTGAGGCAGCAGCAGCAGCAGCAGCAGCTGCCAGTTTTCCTCATCCGCCAGAGGCAGCTCCAGCTGAACAGGCAGAAGTAGGAGCAGGAGCACCTCCAGCAACAGGCAGCTACAGTTCCAGCAACTCTGGTGGCTCCAGCAGCACCACCAGCAATCACTACTGCATGGTGGAGAGCGAGCATCCGTATCGAAGTGCCAGCATCAGTTGCTATCGCGTCGAGTTTCCGCCCTGCGTCCAATGGATGACCATCGAGTTTGATGGGCAGTCGGGCACGGCACAGCTGGAGGACTATCTGCTGCTATCCATACCCATGCGACCGGCCGAGCAGGCGGGCGAACCTGCCACCACCCAAACGGATGACTACTACGATATGCTCGACAATAATCTGCCAAGTGCGGCCACGGACACACGTAGGACAGTGATACCCACGGCAGCGGAGATGGGTGGAGCAGCGGCTAATAAAACTCGCTCCGCAAATGCTCAGCTGCTGATGGCCAGCTGTTGTCGCACTCCAGGCACATCCACTGGTGGCAGTGGCTCTGGATCCTCCTCCCTGCTGCGTGCCCAAGATGCCAATGACAGAGAATGGATTGTGGTCAAGAAGTTTAACACGTAAGTGGGAGGACAGACAGTAAACCTTTAAGACACTCTTCTTCATTGATTTGCTTGCTTGCAGCGCTTCCAATTGGCTGATGAGTGTTCTGGTTGTGCCCGGCAATTGTGTGGAGTTTTCGCTGGAGACATCATCGCTGTATGCCCAGGATCCGCACAATAATCGCTATGGCTTCAAGTGTCTGGTGGTGGGCTATGACAATCCCACGGCTGTGAGTACTCCCCCTCTCTCGCTCTCTGTTGCTAACCCACTCATATTCATGCTGATGCACTCACTCTCTCGCTCAGATTAATGGCAGCAATTCGTGTTTGATACGACTGGAGCAGGAGCTATCCTATTTGGGCGGCATGTGCTGTGCCAATCTCATGAAGAAGGAGCTGAATATGCCAGGTAGGGCAGACATATCAAAAATAAGTCATAAATAATTAAATTAATATCCAATCACAGAGGACAAGGATGTTGAGGACATGAGTGGCGTTGAGGAGACGATTATGGCGCATCATTCGTTGCTTTCCAAGGGATTTGCACTCTCCGATCCACATCTGAATGTACATCAAGCTCTGGAACCATATCTGCCCATTGGGTAAGTTGTATTTTATGATTATAAACTGATCATTTATCGCGTTGCCTATCGATAAATGCTGCCTAAGCGATGGAATATTCTAGAATATTCCTTCGGCCTGTTTATGCTTGAATTATGCATTGAATTCATTGTAAGAGCACTCTCCGGCTTTGCCTCTGGCCTGAATGCGTTCTTATCGTTTTCCATCGATAACCAACGATAAACGATAAGCGTTCGTTGCTCCATTTATTCAATATACTGGCATATTTATGCACATTCGGATGACGCATCCCATCCCCCTATCTATAATAACTATTTACAGGGCGACTTACATCGATACATATATAATATAATATTTAATATTTATGTGCTAGCTATTTAGGACTATGTTTTAGGCTATGGTTTTGGTACAACAAAAGGTCACTCATTGGTGGATTGGTGGTTCGGTGCGTGTTCGGTGTGTGTGTTCAAGGGTGGTAGCTTCTCTTTAGCTCTGTGCTTATAATTGTCTTTGTGGGTGTGCGTCCTGCTTGGTGTCCTGTCTACAAATCAGTCTTCAGCAGGCCAGCGTTCTCAATTTGGTATACAATTTGTGTCTCCTTGTAGGTGCGCGGCTCCGGCTGCACCACATCCAGCTTGCGCCGCTTACGCCGCTGTGCCAGACGCCACCACAACAGCAGCAAAAGGAGCAGCAACAGCAGACCCAACAGCACACTGCCCGCCACTATGTACGCCACATAGCTGGTCGTTTTGCACTGCTCGGGCATGAGCTGACGGAGCGGCACAAACTGCACAAACTTTTGCAACCCATTTGCGGTGGGTGGCCGCGGGAACAGCAGCTGCTCGCTGTGCAGGCGAAAGAAGTCGGAGCGCGGCACTGGCGGCTCCACGCTGGTGTCCATCTGGTAACAGCTCCAGGCATTCTCGTAGCGCAACTCGCGCAAACTCAACGCAAAGCGTTCGTTAAAGTGCAGGGGCTGTGCTGCGACATCCTGCTGTCCGCTGCTGTCAGGACGAGCACTGCGCAGGGTATTGTTGTGGAAGCGCAACTCCAGCCGCTCACTGAGCTGATAGCTTCGATGGACTGTGAGGCTGCGGAAGGCTATCTCACTGGTGGCTCCAAAATCATTGCCACGCAGCGTGACAGCATCCCGTATCTGCGCCTCCAGCCACTCGCCGTCCACAGCCACAAAATGATTATCGCTGAGGCTCAGCTTGGAGACAACTGAAAGAAGTATTTAAGGGATCAGCAGCTGGGGTGGAATGCTAGGCATGTGCATTGGTACTTACGCTTAAAGGAGAACGCATGGGAATGTACAACCTGGAAGAGATTGTTGCGCATGCTCAGCTCGTGGAGCACTTCCAGTTCGTAGAAGGAACGTGTGGGCAGATCACCCAGGAAATGGCAATTGGCGATTGTCAGCTGCTCCACGGCAAACTTCTTAAAGGCCTAGCAGAAAGCAGAACGCAGAAAGCACAAAATTGCGTATAACAGTTTGGAGCATATTCGAAGGCACTCACCTGCCCCTCAATCCGCTGAATGGTGACCCCGTCGAGCTTCAGCAATATGGCACTGTTTTTGGTGGTGGTGAAACCAAACGGTTGCATCTGCTCGATGCGTCCACCCACAAATGAGATCTCCTCGATGTTCCCGTTGATGGCATGCGATTCGATTAGCTTCACATTGACCGCCTCGAATTCGACAATCAATGCCTTGTTGCTGGCATAGCGGGGCACAATCAGTGCGTATTCCCGCAGCACCAGTTGGCCCAGCTGTCGGAACGAGATCTTGCGCAGGCCCTCGGTCTGGCTCAGAGCATTGGCCTCCACCACAAGATCGCGACAATTGCGCACCTCCACCTGAAAGACGGCACCATGCAGCTGGGGCAAGACCATGGCCTGACAAGGGATAAGATTGGTTAGGTTTTGGTTGAGTCATTTTAGGGGTTGGTTGAGTGACTCACCTGCTCCTCGTTGTTGCAGTCACAAGTGATGGTGGTGTCATGATCGCGACAAATGACTTTTGGCAATTCCGCATGTCCGGGCACCACCAACCAGAGGAACATTAGCAGCAGCATGGCCAGCCCATTGGTGGGATCCTTGAGATTTCTGATATTTCGCATGGTTGATTTGTGTGTCGCGTGGGTTCTTAGGTTGGATGTTGTCTGAAGGTTTATTCTTCACTCATATTACTGGAATCACTTTTTGCGCTGGCTTCTTATTTTTTGTATTTCAACTCGCACTCTTTACACATTTACATTTCTCTCTGCGCTCTGCTTTTCTGTTCTCTTTGCTCTGTTTATGTGTTCTCGCGTCTCGTTTCGCACTCGGCGGAGCGGTGAGACCCCTTCTGCTTCTGCTTCTGCTCGGCTAAACGTTCAACATGGAAATGCTGATAAGTTGGAAATCGCTCAGTTTCTACTCTTATCTTTGAAGGTGTTTCTTATCTACTACACAAAAGCACACACACACACACACAGACCACGCTGATAGGTGTATTTATCTGTGTGTTCGAATGAATTTGCTGTTACATTTTGGGGCCACCCTACAACAGGGCAACCGCACAGAACTTCCCCATTGCAAGTTAATATTTGACACAAAATACACACACGTCTTTTTTCTATGAGTAATAAATACACTTTACGGCGAATTGAGTTGCTCTCCTTCTCCAACAAAAAAAGAATTCCTGCCCTAAAGCGTTAGTATTTATATTTAGGAACACAAATATTTGTGTTAAATAACAGTAAGGAGAGCGGTGAGAGCCCCAACAATGCTGCGCTCTTTGCGGGACATTTCCGGTGTTAGAAACTTGCAGATAATGACAAAAAGAGCGCTAAAGCTTTCTGATAACTAAATTTGCGACTATTTAAGGTATTTTTTTGCACAAAGTGTCCAGAAAGAAATAAAGTGTCCAGGTTTATTCGTTGTCTATCGGTTCTTTTGAAGTCTTTTACTCGCCTTTTACTCTAGGTAAGCGAAACGAATAATTAAATGGGAACACAGACTGTTCGAAAATGGGAGAATGTGAAATTTCAATTGTTTTACTGCCATGATCGATGGGCCCTTCGCTAGACGGAATCTTTGACCAACTATATATATTTATATAAATCCTCGACAGTTGACAGTGTCGCTCATAATCATCAGCTAACGCAATTGCCCAATGATTGTCGAAGCTGAACACTATCTGTGGCTCTGCTCTGCTGTGTCTATGGCTCTAATTGAATCACAACACCCCCTCCTACCAATTGTGATGATCACTTCACTAGTTTTGCCTTCGCCTCTGCTTTTGCTACTGCTTCGCTTTTACTTCAATCAATGCTGCGAGTGACTCTGGCGAATGCTGTTAATTGAATTTGGAGGTCGGTACTGTCGTCCATCATATGGGAAATACTGTACTTTTGGGACTGCTATTGGATCTCTCTCTCTCTCTCTCTCTCTCTCTCTCTGGTAGCCCGAACATGAGCAATTATGCTTTGTTATTTGTTTATGGCCATTTTCATTTTCATTTGTTTAAAGAACTTAATTTACAAAACGAAATGTAGTCACCAGCATCGCCAGCTGTGTGTGGCTGGCTTCTCCAACATCTCAAGTGTTCGACTGTTCAAATATTTGCGCACAAGTCGAGAAATTCGAAGCTGAAGCTCTTTCTCTCAAGTTACACAAAGTCTCGCCCTAACTTTGGACTTGCCCAATTGCCCCTTTATCATTCACTCTACGAACCGAACTTAATTGCACTTCATTTATTTATTAGATTGCACTTTTACAATCAGCTCACACTTTTCCATGACACCTGAAAACATCAGGGAAAAGTTCGGAAGAGTTGATGAAAACTATCATCAGTTGATGGTTATATCTAGTTGTCATGCATATCTGATTCTATTTTATCTATCTCTGACACATTTATCAAGTGAATGATTAAGTGAGAGAGTCATCATCCTCTGCACCCATTCAACTGTTGACACCTTAAATGGATGGGTAAACTAGCTGTCGCAGAGCTTTCCGTATGCCAAAGTCTCCCACCCCAACCCTACCGATGTAGGCTCCGGATGTGCCGCAGACGGAGTGGAGAGGCAACCCTTTAGGGTGAATTTCCATGTGCATCAAGAGGTTTTCATTGTGCGGGAGCATCGCTTAGGGAATTAAATTAAAGCAAAAATTGCATTTCCTGTCAAGCTAAGTTGTACGCCAACACCCCGCACTCTGCCGCTCCCGTTACTCAATTAGATGGAAATTATATATAAATTAACACATTTCATGGATTTATTACCACAGCAAACGATCCAAAGCGCGGACTCGTTGAGCTTCCAATCGAATCGAATCGCAATCGTAATCGTAATGAAACGTTTCGAATGATGAGCAAATGCTTCGTTGGACTTTCAAAACGTGAACAAGCATTGCAAAAAGTATTGGGAATCACGCTACTAGAGCATTCAGCAGTGCCGATAAGATTATTCAAGAAAAAACCCCGTTCAGTAAAAAGCTTTCCTCACAGCGCTTTGTTGGCTCTTTGGATCGATATTATCTTCTTATCTGTTCACCATTCCTTTCGAAGCTCTCCCTGGCCGTGGCTATGGCTTGTAGTTTTTTTTTCCGTTGGAATCTAAAACCAACCGCAAAAGCTCGGTTAACCGTTCACCAAAGGTGCGGTAAAAAGTGTGTAGGGCACTTTTGATGTGGGGTTAATGTTTTTAGCTTGTTTCTGTTTTTCTGTTTTGCTTTGTGCGCTTTTTGCTTTCTACTTCATGAAATATTCGTGATTCTAGCTGTGAATTTTCGTGGTTTTTGCCACAACATTTCAGCTGATCTTTTCGTATAACATTGACTCTGGGCAATACTTTGTTTGTATTGTATATTCGAAATCGTTTTTTTAATGGCAAACTAAAAACAGATTTTTATTTCGCGTTGGCTTTTCTTCGTTGTCATTAACCTTGAAATATCGAAATATCGTTTGACGACGGTGACGCCGAACGATGACGGCCAGGGCGCATAATAGATATGGATATATGGCAAGGTGTCGTTTGCCAATTTGTATCGGAGGGGGCGTAAGCAAATACACAAACACATAAACACACACAGAGTTGTGTGCGTTGCTAATTTACATGATTTGCTCGTCTCGTCTCCTCTCTCCCATGGGGGAATGGCAAAAACAGCATCAACATTTCTTGTCTTCCCTGCTTCGGCATTAATAATACACTTCCTGGCAGAGAGTATACCGAATTGAACAGAGAACGAAACCAGCGGCTAGTCCAGCCTCTTAAATTGGTTCTCTATATTTATGGGGAACTGTAGAATTGATTAAAATAGGATGAAATGTACAAATATATACACAGAGACACCATCGAAATGCAAGGGCATTCAAAGCTCGACCCGCAAATTTTTGTGTTTTCGCTTGGATTGTTTGTTTTGGTTTGATGCGTGGGCTGTGCTGTTGTTGCCTTACGCAATGCCCAGAAGGAGAAGGAATCCAGAGAGGAGAGCAAAAAGAGAGAGGGGGGTGGGAGTGGGAGAGATGTGTGCATATGCATTGCATCAGCCATCTCCCTTCATATGTACTTCTGTCCTCTCTGTTTTAGTTATTTTCTCTCTTCTCTGCATTTTTGTATTTTTCTGCTAAGATGATGCCCTCTCTAGCTGTTTTTATCGTTTTGAACTTTATTGTGGAGGCGCCTTACGGTTGGCTCCAAAATGTTATATGTGTGTGTGCACAAGCCCTGGGGTTAAAACTGTATGTATAAAAACAAAACAAAAAACACAAAATGTAGTTAATTTGTACTTTAAACAGGGCTAAAGCAAATATTCGCATTAGCAATGAAATCAGCGCACAAAATTAAAACAGTGAAACACACACGCGACTCCGCCACTCGACGCGAAGCGGTAAGAACCACAACAACAACAGCAACGGCGGTCAGTTCAGCGGTCCGTTCCGTCCGCCTTGCTCTCTCTAGCTGTTCTTTTTGTTGTTGTTGGCCCAACCGGCGTAAGCGCCTGCAAATGACAAACTGAGCGCCAAAGCGCGACGTTCACGAACCACCAGCCGCCAACCTCCCAGTCCCCCACCAGTGACAGAGCGGTGGGCAGAGCAGCAGAGCACAGCGTTCGGCCGCCACAGCCAACAACAGCGAGCAGAGCGCGAGGCAGTGCTGTGCATTTGGCGCTCTAGCGGGAAGATCTGTTGGGTCTGTCAAAAAATCTCTGGCTACAAATTCAGCTGTTAAACAACTTTTAAATTTTTTTTGTTGATTTCAAGCTAATGTTTAATAGTTTACCCTATATGATCGCATTTGTTTTAATTCCCAAGTCTATTTATTTTTGGCAATCACAAAGCTAGCTTGCTTCTGGCTGAAGTTGCATCACGGTTGGCTGGGCTCTCGCTTCTCTCAAATCTCTCTCTCTCGTTGAGCTGGTGCGAGCGCCAGTTTGGCTGTGACGACAGCGTTGGCAGCGTTTCTAAGCAAGCTCAACAGAAACAAAACCAACAACAAAGAAGCAGAAAGAATTTTTCGCGTTTATTTGCTTTGCTTGCCTTTTGTTTGCCACAGTGTGAGGGAAGTGGGAGAGGAGGCTCAAGTTCAAGCTACATACCTTGTAAGGTCAGGCATCCTCGTTTTTGAGATTTGAATTTAATATTTTAAAAGATTAACATATTTTGGACACAAAACTGCACTGTGTTCGGTGACTGCCTTGCCTCTTGCTTGCCATACCTTGTTCTGCCAAGTCGCTGTGATGGTTGGTGGTCTCTCTGCCACAGAGATGCTGATGTTGCTACTGCATCTTATTTGATTGCTTGCACAGCGCTTAATTGAACGGCCAACGCGCCGACATGATGCAGCGCTTGACACTTGCTCCTCCACGAAAGCCCCCACAAATGCGGTGTAGCGACGGCGGTAGCAAAAGACAAAGACTACACAAATCAAATCAAAGGCAAACATCAAGCACTTAGTAGAGAGCTTGTTAAGAGTTCTCTGCTCTCTGCTCTCCGCTTTCCGCTCAAAACTCAAACTCAAACCATGTGTGTGGTGTGTTTATGGCTTTGAGAGAGGATGCTGGATGCATGCCACCCAGCTGATACCCTGGGAATGCACCCACTATAATCTGCACTTTCTGGTAGCTTCTCTCTACACTTGACTCATTCTTATCGCTGAAAATTATTGAGTAACACATAGAGTGTTTCCATGCAACGACATTAGAGAAGCGCAGGCAGAGAGTAGGCAGAAAAATGGAGAGATAAGCAATGCAAGCCCAAGGTGTATTCATATAAGGTGAGGTGTTAAGCTCTTATACGAACAGGCATGCCTCTTATTGATCACAGCCCAACTGCCATCTCTGGCGTGCATGCACAGGCATGATCATGCATGATCCACAGACTGGATCAATCTGCTGACTCGACCGACTGACCATATATGCACATTAATAACTCTAAAAGGCTTTTAGAACGGATTTGCATAGCAGCAGGCAGCGAGCAGTCAGCAGTTTTCGCTGGCAAATCAAGTTCTACAACATTTCAAAATGCTGCAATTTTCAGCAAAACTTGCCTTTTGGTTTTAGCCTATTACCTCGATACCCCGGCCATAAAAATCGACCCAAAACAACTGTGGGTGATTAATACAATGTGTGCCTTACCCCTAGTGTGTGTGTGTGTACCTGCAGGGTAATAAAAGTTCCAAAACACACAGCTTGAATGTAGGTAGGCTGTATACTACATTTATTCTCTATTTCTCGTTGACTTGTATAAACTGTATAATAGTTGACTTAAATCTGCACTTCTTTAGCCTAGGCTTAATCGATTTTCCTCTTTCGATTTTCATATTTTGGATTTCTTCCGCTTCACTCATCTTTCTCCTAAATCTTTTCTTTTTCATTCAAATATCACATTTAATGGTTTTATTTTTTTTTGTTTTTTGTTTTTTTTTTATTTGTGCGTGGCAGGCTGTGTGTGTGGGGGCTTGTCATGCGGCATGTCTTTTAGGCATCCGCATAGTCGATCACATCGCCAATCTGTACAGTCTCGTCGCTGCCCCCCGAATGATCGGATCCCGAGTCCATATGCTCCATGGCCGCCAAACTGGCGGCACCATCCAGACATTCGAAGCTTCTCACCCTGCCCCTAGTCCCTGTCCCTGCCGCCACCGCCCCCATCCGCTGACTGTATGGCGGGGGCTGTACCTGAGGCTGTGACTGTGACTGGGGTTGTGGCTGCGTTTGGGGATGGTGGAACTGTCTTTGGTGGCGTGCTGAAGTCAGCTGATTTGGATGGAATTGTGGCATCGCCTCGAGATCCTGTCGCAGATCCCGCACATGCCGCTGTGGGATGATATCTGCTCTTCCTGACCCACCTGCTGCTCCTCCTGTTGGTGGCCTGCTGTTGGGCGTGGCACTGGCTGTGGCACGCCACACGGGCGTGGCATAGCTGACATGCTGCTGCGATGGTGGAGCGGGCGGCAGCTGTGGCTGCTGCTGACCTCTGGTGGACGGCAACTGAGGGGGGCCCAGGTGCCGCATGGGCAGGGCATACTGATAGGCCGGTGGTATATCGTTAATCGCATCTGAAAGTCGAACAAAAAAAGAGTCGATTCAAGTGCCATGGCAATGTATACAAAAACAACATAGAACACATATCTAAATGGGTAGATAGATTACAGAGATTGAGGAAGAAAGCCAGAGCCAGAGATAGAAGCTACATACTAGAGAGATAGTGATAGGCGGACGGAAGGGCAAAAAGTACCATTACCATTATTTACGAGTAGAGTAGCAAGTGGGGAAAAAAGTTGCAACTAATTTGTTGTTTAGTAGTACCTTCTTGGGTTAATGCGCTCCATATTTGTGTGTGTTTGTGTGTAGATTGCATTTTCTCTCTCTATGTGTGTGTGGTGTGGTGTGTGTATTTAGTGTGTGTGTATTTAGTGTGTGTGTGTGTGTGTGTGTGTGTGTGTGCTGGGCGCTTATACATACAAACATACAAATATTTATAAAATACAATAATGTGCATGTGGATTGTATTTGCAAAATGTGCATCCCGCGTGGATCATATGTGGACCCCATGTTGAATATATTCGCAGCAGCTGTTCCTCCATGTGGGCATCCCAGTGGTTCCACCTCAGACTATCGCTTTTAGGGTGCAGCACTTAATGTTATTTTTTAAGTTATTGTTTTGTTTTGATTTGGGTTTGGATTATGTTGGGTTGGTTCCTTAACAATGTACCACAACCTGCGTACATTTCTACATTCGGCTATACATATTATTTACATAATTGTTCATAATTAGGATTACACGAGAACTACAAGTACTAGAGGATAACACCATCATGTTGAGAGGTTTTCACATTCGTTGGGTGTGGAATTCGTTGAGTGGACGGGTGCTAGTGCGAGGGGGTGTTGGTTCGAGTGGGCGTGGCCGGCCACTGCCGCTACTGTTACGGTTGCAGTCGTACGAGGGCAGTACGCCGTAACCATGGCCGCAACCGTACTTACTGGAGCTCGGCGGGGCAGTGGAGTTGATGGGCTCCGAGTAGACGGGCGTCTCGGTCATCGGATCCGATGGCGATGAGTATTCGCTGGTGAGCAGCGGCTGTTGCGGCTCTTCGTAGATGGGCTCCTCATAATTGGGGGCACTGGGTGCCGCCGATGCACTCGGACTGTCGTGTGGCATTGTCGATGTGGCATAGTAGTCGCCCCCACCTTGAGATGCTGGCCCGTTGCTGTTGCTGTGGCTGTGGCTGTGACTGTGACTGTTGCTGCTGCCACTGCCGCTGGGGTCATGGCAGTCCAACAGATGCTGCGTGAGCAAATCCTTAATAATGGACGAACCATTGGGCATCTCCTTGATGGTGTCAATGACCTGATTCTTGCACTCGATGCGGCTCAACTTTCCGCTCATCAGCTTACGAATGCTCTTCCGGGTGCTGTCTCCGTCGCGCAGCGACTCTGTTTGCTTCAGCATGGTGCGCCGGGCATCATCCGTAAAGCTGCACAGGTCCGAGTCCCCAGAGCCAGCGGCCGAACTGTTGCCGCTTCTTCCCCTCTTGCACACGGCGGTGAGGCCCAGAACGATGAGGGATGCCAGACCCACAGCGACAATGAATCCCACGATGTACATGCCAATCTGGCCGATGGTTAGGCTACCGCCGCTGCCCAGCAGGTCGCTGGCGGTTCGTGTCGACCACTGGCCATTGGTGCAGTGTCGCGAAACATTGTGATGGCCACCGCCGCAGGCTTCGTGCACAAAGCGGCGCCTGTTGACGCTGCTGGCATTGAAGCAGCCCCGATCCGTGGCCACCAGGGGACAAATGATCTCCGAATCGAGATCGTGATCGGTGAGGCGGTGCATCCATTCGTTGTCGCAGCTGCAGTCATGCCCCACCGTGATGCGATGCACCTCGCAGTTGCTGAAATTTAGGCTGTTCTGCTCCGGATCCTCCAGTCGATTGTTGGCAAATGTGCAGTTGAAGGGCTTCGATAGCTTGGCCAGCTCCAAGCCGAACTGATTGAACTGCCCAAAGCTATTGTTCTCGATCACAATATGCTCGCCATCCTTTACGCGCAACCAATTGTGCTCCGTATGCTTCACCGTGTTGTCCTGTATGAAAACGAACACGCTGAAGATTTGCATGGCATTCGATTTGATTTTCATAATGCTGTCAACAAGAGAGAGAGAGAGAGAGAGAATATCATTTAGAGTTGTACAGAGATGCTGTGTGGTGCGCACTCACGTGTTATTTTTGAGCGTCAGTCGAGAGATGCCACAGTCGATGATTGCTTCGCTGTCAATCATGCCGATGGTGGTGCCCTTGAAGGAGACATGATCACTCCGGAGCTTGCTGGTGAGTGCCCGCGCCTCGATCGTGCCAATGTGACAGTCCTCGAAGGAGAGCTCCTTGATTTCGGTCACATCGAATGCATTCGTTTGGATCCTGTCGATCGTTGCCTTCACAAAGCTCACCTTAAGCATTGAGACATCAAAGCTGCCAATCTTTTCGATTTTCGTGTCCTCAATGCGCAGC